TCTTATAGCATTTGAAAAGCAAGCGAATAGGTCTCACATCCTGAAGAGACGCAACAGAACACTTCTGCACAATGAGAGATATGAAAGTGGAATTGATGGCTTTACATACGATTCCATCTAGGTAAAACTGATTAATCCATAGTAATAAATCCTCTTTGATGACATCCCGGAATTCTTGAAAAAAGGCTAATGGAAAGCTATTCGGACCCAGAGCTTTGTCCCTAGGTAGGTCAAAAAGTTCATTTTTAACCTCCTCATTAAAAAATTCAGCTTATAAACCTGCAGATGCCTCCTGACCCAAACTTTAAAAGGCACTTGCGTCAGGTCAAAGGGCATCCTGGGTTATGAAGTACAAACATCTTGGAAATGTCTGGCTATGACAGCAGTCATCTGCTCATTATTATTAATGTTAACTCCTAGAATCTCTAGAGCACTGAGGCTATTAGTTCGATGTCTGGAATTTGCCAAAGCATGGAAATACATGGTATTGTTGTCCCTGTCCTTAACCTATTTTAAAAGAGATCTTTCAAAAAGCTGAGGTTTTTTATTTTCTTTGACTGTTTTAAGGTCAGCCAAAAGGTCACCATTGATTTGTTCAAGATGGTTAATAGGATGAATATCAGTAGCCAAGACATTAATTCTATGGGTCGAATCCCCAAATTTGCATCTACCCCAACCAATCAATTTACTTTTGAGGCGTTTTCCCGGCTAGCCAGCCAGCCGCAACCATTCCAGGCATCACGCACAACCTGACTCAAAGACTTATCTTCTAGCCACATAAGTTCAAAATGACAGGGGGCAGGCCTATAACATCCCCATTAGTATCTAAGAGAATGGGGACATAGTCTGAGGCCAGTTGAGGTACCGCCTTCACTAGAAACTTGGGGAAGACAGTATCCCAACCAGAAGAGACAAGAAATCGATCAAGCTTTGATAATTTTGGATGCAAAGCAGAGTTATTAGACCAAGTGAAAGTAGTCCCCACGTTATTGAAATCAAACAACTCATTGGAGGTGATAAAATTATCAAACATAGTCATCTGAGGTATTTAGGGAAGGCAAGGAAAATTCTTTTTCCAACCTTTTAACCAAATTGTAATTCCCTACACGACACCAGGGCAAACCATAAGATTTGATACTATGAGAGAGAGACCTAAGAAATGCCTCCTTCTCCCTCAAGGAATTAGGACATAGATATTAGACAAGTACTAGGAAAGGAGCCAGGTCCAATAAAGTTCACAGAAATAACACGAAATGAAGCATCCAACACCAGCCCCACAAATAAAGAGGGGTCTCAAACAATTAACAAGCCCCTAGAGAGGCCACATGATAGAACAGAAACAAAATCCACCGAGCCTAAGCTCCAAAAAGACCTAACTAACACCAAATCCAAGGAGACCAACTTAGTTTCCTGCAAAACAAGGATGTTAGGCTTGCTTTTCAACATCGTCCTCTTAAGCACCCTTCTTCTTCTGACGTCTTCCAGGTGCCCCACACATTATATGACAACACTATCATTGCGGATGGAATCCTCTTCCTCTCCTAGTGGTCCCAGTAAGGCCAGCAGCAAAGAGGATTAATGGGAGGGTTGCCACAAGTTCTTCAGCCTCATGCCGAAGGCGGTTGCGAGGCCTTCTTGGGGGTGGATTAGGTCCCACAGGAGCATTTTGAAGTACCACCTCTTACACGAGCCTCGCCTCACCCTTGAACTTAAGATGTATACCACCCAACATCTTGGTTGCTTTGTCTCGAGCAACAACCCTCTTCAACTTTTTGATCGACCAGATAGTGAGCGTCGTTAGGGTCGAGGTCCTCCTCCTCCGATGAGAACTCAGTAGCACGAACCTGAGGGACCTCTGGGACTTTAGGAATGGAGGCAAAAAACAAGCCTTTTGAATGTTGGGCCTCAATAGCAATCATGGATGGGTTTTTGTGGCATGATTGTCCTCCCACTGAGATAAAAGTCAAACGCACAGCCTCAGGGGCACTTGATGAGTCTGAAAGGATCACATCCTCCTTTTCCCTAACCTCGACAATATTGATATGTGCCATAGATAGCAAGAAAGCAACGATAGAAATAGAGCAAAGAAAAATACGAAATAAGAGCCCAGATAAGTAGAGAATGGGCCGAAGCCTGGCCTTTAAGGGCAAAAAGGTAGGCGAGAGGGCATAATATCTTATATAACGGGTTGAAGGGGAGATGACAGATGGCTAGAACGTATATTTTTGAAGATACCGTCGATTCAGAAAGATCTCCCGTCGACTCTTTGCCTACCTCCATGTACTTGATGGCCCCCATGAAATCAATATCGCACTGTTGATCCACAAGGCTCGGATCCAACTCAACCTGAATTGTGTATCCTCTGCCAAAGCCACCATCTTTTCAGACCCACTCCTAGGGGAGACTGCAATTATCGATGCAAAAGATAAAACTGATGCCCAAAGACCTATTGAAGGGCTCAAAAACTTCCTCTTTCATGATTCACGTAACCAAAAGTGGAGCATGGAAACATTGTTGTGGCATGCATGGTCCCAGAAGGACCATTCAATGGCACACTTATTAAACACGCCATCTCCTTTTGAATTTTACTTTGCCATTAATTGCAACTGCACCTTCCCGCTAGCGGGAACAGCAGGGGAAGGACCAACCAGCTTCTTATGCCATTCTTGGTGATAATCTTTCTTTTACTTTGATCCACACTTGGAGAATGGAACCCTCGTGCTTTTTGGAAACCAGAGTCCATGGCTTCTCATTGTTGTCGGAGTCAAAATTTCGGCCATGAACGCTAGAGACATTCGACGATGACATTGTAACAGAGCTCCTCGAAGGCAAAGGTGGTTGCTCATTTTCGACTTGAGTAGTAATCCTAAAGTAATCTCCTGACAACTTTGAAATGCAGCTTAACATGGATATAGTATTCTCAGGGACATGAAGAATCCTCATGCGCAAGGAGCCCAGAGGAGTGCCAACAGAGGTAAACCAATCTATCTCCAGAAGCCCATCACAATGATGTGCCAGAAGAGTGAACAACTCTTTGGTCCAAGCATGAATGGGGGGAATATTCAAAACCTTAATCCAGTCAGCAAGAATCCTTATCAAGGAAGTATTATTAGTAACATACCATTTCTCCCCCCGTCATGAGAACCCCTTTGAATCTAAAACAAAATGTTGCTTTAGCACTCTCCCTGCATCCTTAAGGTTTTCAAACAAGACCAAAACCTTATGGGGTTAGGAATGTTTTTGCAAGACAAAAGGCATCCCAATTGCGAATAGCCCAGTCTTGAAGCATGCTTCCACAGGGCTGAAAGAGCAAACAAGAACTTTGTGAAGCTGAGAGGTCCAGTTCTCCATAACTGAAGCGTTAACCTCTCTACAACCTTAGCTCCTACAAAGGCAAGAGGCATCCCCTGATGGGAGGTCCCCTTGCTCACAACCAAAACTGGCCTGAAAGGATGCTCCAATACCGAAACAAACCTCCTTCCAAGTGGATGGAAGAGGAAGTAGAGCTCCGCTTATCTTCAGCTCCCGAAGTCTGTTGAAACCTAGGTGGCACCATGTAGGGAAGCTTGATGGACCGAGACCCCCCCCCCCCCCCGACCCAGAACCAGAGCTCCAAGAGCCATTAAGACCGCTAACCTTATGGCTCCACATAGTACCGGAGCCACCTGGATGAGAGCTCTGGCTGAAATGACCACCTGAGGAGGAAAGATTCTAGCCGAACCTACCAATGAAAAGAAGGGAGAAAGCACAGAGGAAGAGAGAAAGGAAGACATGGAAAAACTAGAAATAAGAGAGCAGGGATAACTAAGCAGAGTAAGACAGCAGGGAGACAGAGCTGAGAAAAGAGAGAAGAAAGGTGGAGGAGCTATGTCACTTTTTCATACCTCAGTCTATAAGCTCCATACAACAACTTGTTTGAAACTTTTAAGAAATGGTATATTTTGACATAAACCTCCTCTATAATGTCAACCCTTGGCTTGACAAAAAAAACCCGCGGACTCAACTTTTAAATATTTGGATGCTCGCTCCGTGACGATTATGTCAGACCAGCTCTCTCTTTCTCTCTGTATCCTCTTTTCTCTCTTTCCACTCTGCCATTTCCTCCCCGCCCTCAGTCTCACACTCTCCCCTCGCTCCTCTCTCTCTCTCTCTCTTTCTCTTCTCTCTCCACTCTACCATTTCCTCCCCAACCTCAGTCTCACACTCTCCCGTCGCTCCTCTCTCTCTCTACCTGTAATATACCACCACAAATGCTCTTTTCCTCTACCTCTGAGGGAAAAAAAAGAGGACTCCATTTTGATGTCACCTTAATGCTCTTTCTTTGTCCAATAATTTTGCAAATCGTAGGTCTAAAATTTCAAAGTTATTGATATTTCTCTAAATGAAATTGTTGTCAACATTAAAAAAAGAAGAAGTAAACTTCGGCCATTTATTCTACATCTCCAGGAAGCTTATTGCCCATTTCAAGTAAACTTTAGGTTATTGAAAATGAGAATTCAGATGTACTTCGTTGTCAAAAAACCATTACTTAGTAATTTTTTAGCTTGGATGACAGGATCTACTTAAAGTGAAATAAAATGGAGGAGTCCAGGAGGTATTTAATGTTAAACCAGTGAGCCTTTGAGAATTTGAACCTAAAAATGGTTTTGTTTTATCCATGGAAAAAATTTACTAGATTCCGTCGAAACTAGCAAATTTTATATAAGTTTTGACAAAATGTTGTCTAATTGGGATATTGGGGATGTATTTTCATTCTGATTATGACATTTTTTAGCATGATTCCAATGCACCATTGGAGCATGTATGGGAGCATTGTATGGGATATTGGGGATGCATGTCGTTCTTACTTGACATTTTCTAACATGATTCCAACACGCAATTGGAGCTTTTGTGTTTTTTAGCATTTTTTAGCATGATTCCAAAGCACACTAGTTCTAATACAAAACCAGAGCTTTTTCTTTTGGGCAAATTTGGATTTTTTCTTTTTTTTTTTTTTTTTGTTTCAGAGCCTTCTTTAACTCAAATTGAACTTTTGTTGGACAATGGAAATTGCATCCTCAAGTGAAGACATGGTGCAATCTGCACCGTCCAACAAAATTGGATGCAGCCCGCCAATATAAAACGCTACACCATGTATGAGAGAGAACAAGAGAGAGAGAGTTACAGCAGAGTTAAACATAGCAGAAATATACTTGGAAGTGTACAACAATGTCCATTGAAATCAACAAACAACAGTAAACAACCTTAGCAAAGGTTGTTGTTCATGGCCTGTAAAACTAATTAGATCACCTCATTCATAATCCATTGATTCCTGAGAAGAAGAAAACAGAGTGTCACCAGAGTGTCACCACAAGAAACCACTTGGAACTTGACTATTGCTCATCCCATTCATCGTTCTTGTATGAAACCAAAGTGTCAACCTTGTGTATCTGCACAAAAACACCAGATGCAAAACCAAAAATCCTCTCCATATTAATACTAAAAGACCATTCTTTTCCAATAAAAATCCATTCAATTTGTGATGGGTTTTGAAGAAAAACCCCACCTTAGTATCAAAAGAATGCAATTTGACCATCTGCGGATTGAGAATGAGTTTTGCATCACTTTCCATCCATGTAACAGGAATCTCCAAATCCGTATCAGTATATGCTAGCACATCAAATACGCCTGAAACAAAGGGACAACACATAAATAGAGAGAGAGAGAGAGAGAGAGAGAGAGAGCTTACTTTCCTTACCCTACGACGGTCTCACTACCAACGAGGACGAGTAGTAGGTAGTAGTGTCGTAGAACGACTAACTCGTACGACCTAGT